ACCCTAAACCAGAGATTCTGGTTCGATCCCCAGCAGAGTCGCCAGAGCTGTCACACCTCCTTTTTCCCGAGCGGATAGGGAGTTTTTCCAATTTAAGTAACTGTAATCTAAATGGAATTATTTATTTAATTCCAGGGTCGCTACTTGGAATAATTTAAGGTTTTTCAAGTCACCGGTTTATTTTAAATCCCAAATCGAGGAAATTGACTCTATTTTTGGTCCGCGAACGCAGAAGATCGAGTAAGGAATTCTGTTAACCCGGGAGAAGGTGTGAGGCACTCCCGAGTTCCGTGGTTTTAGCACGATCGCTCAACTATCAATAATTGGCCTAATTATCTGATTTTATACATGTTTTAAATGCATTTTTATCTTTTAACCGCTTTTTATTATTTATGAAGTTTGTTTGAACAAGTCGCGATGTCGAACACGTGTTTTTTTTGTACACAATACGAATCGTGTCACGGGAACCGTACCCACGATCTACAACATATGTATTTTATTATTGTTTGAAGTTATGATCGGGTCACATGAAATGCACACCCGAATTGTGGATTACGTATCGTGACCATGCCACGAGAATTGTGCCCATGATCACGATGATTTAATTACGCGCCTAAAGCAAACTACGGATTCTTTTAAAAAAAAAATTAACTAATTTGAGATGATTGTGAAGTCAAGAGTTTATGGAGGAAAATGATGGAGAATGAGGAAATTGATTACTGCAATCATTAATACGTTCATTACTACGACGTTATCGGATATGAGCTTAACATTTTGTCCTTTCAAATTTTCAGATTCTGAGTGTTGGTGAATTTTCACTCTTCGTTTTTGGTCAACTGTTCTGCAACTGCTCGACAATCGTAAAAAAAAAAGTGATCTCGAAAGTTGTAATTAAACAATTGGACATTCTTAGAGACAAACATGCCAGCCTTATAATCAGTTTTGAAAATTATTAAAAAAGCAAAAGATTAATGTAAGAACATCACAAAATTTATCCATAAACACATATATGACCCACTTGTCATGCCTTAACAAATTTAGGCCCAAAACCGGACTGAAATTTATTGAGAAAAAATTTTAAAATGAGTCTATTACAAATTAATTCAGTGTAAGTCATAAGAATTTTACACACAAAAAAAAAATTAGCCAAAACCAATCTAGGAAACCTGTGTGTTTATTGCATTAAAGCTGATTTTTTAAGCTTCTCATATACGGAACTAAATGAAGCAAAATATTCAGCACATGTCATTAAACAAGCATTAACATACCCGAAAAGAAAATCATGGATGTTAAAAACAAACAAAACTAATTAACACATGATAAGGCATTTAAAATCTCATATTTGCATTTATTGATTTAAACAGGTGATTACAAGATGAAGAACATACCTAAATGTGGAAAATCAGCTAGATAAACCAATAAATGTCTGAAATTAAGAAGCGGGAACTCAGCAGAAGAAACCAACAATCATAGCTCCAAAAGTTCGTTCACCTTTCTAGACCCCGGAAAAATACTTAAAAGCTAAAGAAGAGCTCAAGATTATGAAGAAAATTTTGAGTGAACTATTTTGAGTGAGATTTCTGCCGTCTATCCCTTTTTGTCTACTCTAAGGTGTGTATTTATAATACCCTTGCTAGGGCAACAAATCAGATTTTTCAAATTCAAACCCACTCCTCACCGATTATGTTTTTGCACAGTTTCCACCCCAATTCTTTTGTACTATTTGCTTATTCAACCCACCCCTCACTTTCCTAAAACCTTCCTAGGCAGTGATGGAAAGATTCTTTGAGCCTAAATACCTTAAGTACCCCTAAAAAGACTGTTATTCATCTTTTAAACTTGGACCACAAAAAAAACTGGGACATACGGCCCATAGGCCTAATACCCTCTTTGGGTTTCTTGTCAATGGACCTATGGTTGGAGAAGAGAAAACTAAAATAATAATTAAAAAAAAAAGAAAATCTGATGAGAGACGGACATACGGTCAAACCATTCCAAACTTTGACGAGCAAAATTTTGCCAATAATGGAAATTATAACATGAACGCTGGCCGAAAATTTCTAATGGCTAGTGCTTTATGTCACAATTTTCATCATTTGCCGAAAAAAGAAAGGGAGATGAAGTTCAAAGCTCCAGGCAGTCGGCAACCACCTGCCCGGAATCCAGCCGCCGCGAGATGGGCATAAGATGGATCTGCCGTATTCTTTTATCAAAAGTTTTGATGAAAAAATAGGGTGTTTCGGGGGGACAATCAGAGAAAGAAGAAAAGGGGGTAAAAAGGTTGGATCTTTAATTTTTAGATCTAAAATTCAGAGAGAATGAGTGATTTTTTTGGAGAAAATAATGGTGGATTCGGAATGAGAGGACGATGGAGGTTATGTGCTTAACATTTTAGGGAGTTTGGAGTTGGGCCGCCGCCATGGGCGATTTTCGGCGGGCGGCGGCGGGAGGCGGCGGGTGAAAGAGAAGAGGGGTGAGGGAGATGAGTCTAGGATTTGAGGGGTTAGGACAGTTATAAGGGAAGGGTAGGTTAGTTCCGGTCCGTTGGATTAAATTGGATGAAGGGTGATGGTTTGTTGTGACCAAAACGGGATCGTTTTGGTCATTTGATGGGGGACTGGGCCGATTTTGACTTGGGCTGAGGCGAATATGGGGGATTTTGGGGGAGAAATTTAAAAATAGCCAGATTTACAACTGGTCGTTCAAAATAGCCCAATTTCAAAAGTAATCGAAATTTAGCCACTTTTTATGTAAAGATAAATCTGAGCGAAAACACTGTTCAAAACCCGAAAAATACTCCAGTATATTATGCTGGAGTTCCAACATAAGTATACTTGAACTCCAGCATATTATACTGGAGTTCCAGGATAGTATGCTGGAACTCCAGCATATTATACTGGAGTTCCAGGATAGTTTGCTGGAACTCCAGCATAATATGATGGAGTTCCAGCATAAGTACAATAGAACTCCAGCATAATATACTGGAGTTCCAGCAAGTATATTGGTCCAGTATAATATACTAGAGTTTGGAGCACCAGTGCTCCAGTCTCCAGTATATTATATTGGAGCTGGCAAAGTATACCGGTCCAGCATAATATGCTGGAGTTCATACACAAGTGCACCGAACTCCAGTATATTATGCTGGACCGGTCTCTATTGCAGCAAAATGGTGGCTATTTTTTATTGACTTGGTAAACGATGGCTATTTTTGATTGACCAGTCCGAAAACTGGCTATACCGTGCTATTTTGGAGTAATTGGGCCAATGAAAACGATTTTGGCCCGATTCGGAATTTACAAAGCCTTGTTCTCCTTTTTCCTTCTTCCCCTTTTTTTTTGATTTTTAACTTAATAAAATTAATTAAAATCCTAAACCAAGTTCTACATCAAATCTAATTTGTAGAATTAAATTAATTGTCTATTTTTAACATAAAAAATAATTACTTAAAAAAATTAAAGGAGAATACTAATTTATGACTAAAAACTACAAATGTAACATGACCAGTATTTTTTGTGATTTTGTTTAATAATGTAATTAAGACTAGTAATTAAATCCAACATGCAATTAAGACCTAAAATGTAATGCAATGAAGAATTAAATATTTTTGGTATTTTCATGACTTTAAAACATTAAGAGTGCAAAAAAAAATGCAACTAAATGTAAACAATTAACAAAAATTCTTACAAATTCTATAAATACTAAAATAATTAATTAAATATTTTAGTCGGCAAAAATCACATGCTCACAGTATTCTCACAGGGTTCGAGAGAGGGTCGCACCGCAAGAAATGTGATGTAGACAGTTTACCAATACAAATATCAGTAACTGCTTCTACAACTCGAACCCATGATGATAGAGTGTTGAAAGAAAAGTTCAAGTGGTAATAGCTAATAAGAATAAGGTTGCTTTTCCTTCCTTTTGTTAGCAACAGTAGCAATGAATTTCACTGATTCAGTAACAGCAAGAACCCCATAATATTATGGCTTGAAATAAACTTACACACACCACCATTTCACACTGTTTCTTGTGAATAGTTTCACATTCTACAAAGTCAACCTATAGCCTGCTTTTGGTTAGACAACTTTGGTATAAAATCTTTTTTAAGATTTCTTTCCTTCAACTTTATGTTTTTCGATTCAAGAATCTATAGATTGTACTACGTGAATCATGAAAAATGATTTTAAATGAATTTAGTTGCCATTATAATTGGTGTTCTCTAATGTTCTCCAATTAGTTTTAGGTAATCCTTCTTTGACTTTAAATAAATATTATAAAGGTGCAGAATGAAGTGTATTACATCTGCAATTTTATATTTAGTGTTCTGTTAACAAAGAAAAAAAAAAGAGCAGCCCGTTACACATATGATATAGATAAGCTGACATAATGCAAGCATTAATGGCTGCTTCCACGGCTCGAAGCCGTACTTTGTTAGCATTGAAACCACACCATAAATTTAGAACCAAAAAGCCAATTCATATTTAGAGTTTGATTTAGTATTTTGCAATGTGGTTTTTTTCATTGATATATACGCTGATTTCACGGCTCCAACTCGTCATCTATAGGCCACACCCCAACAAAGTGTGACCCTTCTCCGAACCCTACGTAAACACGAGATTTTCGTGCACCGAGTTGCCCTTTTGCCTTTACTTTTATAGAATAAATCATTCATCAAATTAACTCACACATAGCAATAGCTATGATCCCTACTGAAAAACATCATCCCTCTTTCCAGAAATTTTAGATGCAAAATAGAAGATAGTAAAAGTTTGGTAATTTTATATAATGGAAATTAAATATGCAGCTAATGGCTGTCCCCGTAATTACATCACTACAACAACAACAACAACAACCCACTGGGATCCCACAAGTGGGTCCGGGGAGGGTAATATGTACGCAGACCTTACCCCTACCCTGGAGGGCAGAGAGGCTGTTTCCGAAAGACCCTCGGCTCGAGAGAAAGATAGGAAAAAGTAAATAACAACAAGGCCAGGAAAATGATATCAACAATGTAAGGACCGGGGAAAAATAAATGGAAGAAAGCAATAGCAATAGCAAGAGTAATACCAATTTACATCACTATTCAACATTATTTTTCTCTTTTTTGACAAGTCACTCTTCAACAGTTCAATTGTCTGCCTCTTTTTTCTTTCTTTCCCAATTTTTTTACCCATGTACCTCTAGTTCATATTTATGAGATTCTGGGTGAGGATTTCAGATGTGTACATCTCCTATTTTTCTATAAAACAATCTCAGAAGCTGCTATACCTTCTCATGCATTCAGCTCGCCAAACCAAACGCCACGCCTCATAAATTTGTTAAGAGTGCATGTGGTAGTTTTGAAGCTAGGCACCACGAAAAGATCCCGTTAAAGTTCAGCAACGCGATTCATGAAACACCGAACAACTGGGAGTTACAAACTCATGTCCTCTGGCAAGCACCTCGCAAGGAAATACAGGCTGCAATAGGCGAGAAGGTTAAACTACACCAGAAGTAAAAGAAAAAGAAAGAAGGCATATAACAAAATCGATATTCAGAATACGGTCTATGTTCTTTACACGGATTCTCCGTTGTCGTATTTCCTTATCTTAACTGCGGTGATTATGCGTTTCTTTAGCCGAGGGTCTATCGGAAACAATATCTCTACCTTCACAAGGTAGGGGTAAGGTCTGAATACATACTACCCTCCCAAAACCCCACTTGTGGAATTTTACTGGTTAGCGTTGTTGTTGTTGTTGGCCTCTGTTGAAAGTTGTAATCATCCCATCTGAAATCTTGTTAGAGAGAGTACACTTTTATTTACTTAATTATATCTTCAACACGCCACCTCACAATGCGGGCCTGATTCTTTTTCATGGGCCAAGAACGTGGATATTATTTCTAATAATGGGTGGCAATGAGACTAGAGCTCAAGACCCCTATCTACGCTGGTACCATCTTGTGCGATCATCTCATCTAAAAACTTAAAACTGAAGCATCCTTTGCAACCAATATGTAGAAACGGTGGATTCTTCCTTAGTAATTCTTAGTATGGGTAAAAGATTCAAGTGTCAGCTTAGTAGTATACTAGTATTATTGACTTTCTTAACGACTAGCATTAACTAAAAAACAAAGTTCTCCATAAGATTTTACTTCAACCATTAGAATCTAAAAGTTCATATATTTTCATTTCTATAGTACAGATATACATTCAAAAAATGGATCTGGCTAAGGAGCTTCCACCAGATGAAAAGCATGATATCAAACAAAAAACTGTAACTATCAGAATTGACGTTGAAGTTTGAGAGAAATAATCTCACCTCGCAGACATGAAAGCCATACCAAAGAACACAGCTTTGACAGCTCGCTTCTGACCGGCATAGTCAAATGCCAATGGAAGCATCTCATGTAAGGTTAGAAATGCCATCACCCCACCCACTGAAAGCACAAACGATCCGTTAAAGAATAAGGTAATTCAAAGTTATAGACTATATTTCTCCTTTCACCATGAAACTAAAGGAAATAAAAATTATATCAACCTGCTCCGAGGAGGCCCTCCAGAATTTCAGGATTCAAGCTGCTTGGGAATAGATACCCTGCAGTTCATACAAGTTCAGAGAAACTCATGAATTCATAACCTATTCACTGATTCATGTCTATTGCGCGTTTTACTTAAGATAAAAGACGCAAATATAAGGTACTCACCCACAATAATTACGCCCAGGGGCTCCGCAAGACCTGAAAGTGTTGCCAATTTGAATGCCTGCCATTTGCTAAGACACATACACTCACCATATAAATCTCAAGCGAATAAGAAAAATAAAAAGGAATAGTGCACACAAAAATATGGGCTTTGCATTTTAATTTCTTATATTCTAAAGCTTCCAGCAACTTTAGTTATGTGCATATAAGTCTTACAATTTAAATAGCTTAATGTAAGTCTTATAATTTAAATAGCCTTAATGTTAGTCTAATAATTTAAATAGCCTCAAGGCCTAAAGCATAAGTATGTACACATAACACGACCCCTGGTGAAACAACATCCATATGACTTCACAAAAATTGAAGTTTAAGATATTTACATGCTTGGAGTCAATAACTAAATCATTAGAAAATCGACATAATAAAAGAAACCAAGATTTACACAGTAGCAAAAGATGCTACCATTCCTTATTATTAGTCATAAGTTAGTCTACCAGGAATCATTACCTCTGTGTTGCAAAATAAACTGGAAGTGCAACAGCAACACCCTGCAACCAAATAAATCAGGTCCCGCAATGGAAAAAAATAAACAAAAAGAGCACATCCATTAGCCTCTTCTCGTTTGATCAAAATCAACATGTAAAAACAACAGTAAATGCCTTCCCAGGCATTGTCAATCGATCAACCATTCAATCAACTATGCCTCAACCCAACTCAGTTGGCAATTTGGTATAATATGGAAAATGTGAGAAAGAATCAGAAGTGCTTGATATGCACAGGTCTTATCCTGAAATATAGGTCATACATGGCTCTTGGAAAAACTGATAAGCACATTGATTTTGTTATGATTAACATACTGTTAACGGTTACACGCTTAATCAACAACAATCTGCTCAGCAGAGAAAGTTTGAATAAGATTTCATAGGCCAAAAGGGAATGAAACAAAGATTAATAAAGCAATCAATTACCTGCATATACACATACTATGATAGGACAAGATATCAAACATTATAACTGTAGTAAGGAGTTCATTAGTGGATTCTTGCACTCAAGAAACAAACAGAAACCAGGAAATAAGAGACTGGTAAATGTGAATGAAGTATACCTCTGGTATGTTGTGTAAAGCAATAGCAAGAGCCAAGTTTAGACCAACCCGAAGTCCCTAAAGAAAAGCATGATGAAAACAGAACAAACTTTAAACAATTACTATATGTTTATAACTGAGACCTTTTGCTAAAAGGACTTCAAAATGTATTCTCATCAAACAAAACAAAGTTACTAACATACTCTTTCTGCAACTAACAGGTAATGTCTAGTCTTTGAGAATACCTAATTTTCCTTAGAAGACAAACTATTTAGTATGGAATGTCATAGGCCTAAATAGAGCAAAACGGATAGAGATTATTCATATAGCCGATGCCAACTAGTTTGGGATTTGAGGTGTTATTCATTAATTGAAATTTTGTCACTCTTACAGTTATTAACATAGAATTAAAAAAATATTGTAGGTTGAGCGACAATGACTAAAGTGATTGATAGAGAAGATTATAAACATCAGATAATCAAGAAAGGAGGACTACCTTCATTGATCCAAGGAACACGGCCATCCCTTCAGGAAAGTTATGCAAGCTTATACCTGATTAGAAAAACCAATAAAATCATGTTATACATCTTGTATTGAATAGGCAATATGGATCAAATGCATATACCATTCTCTTCTATTTCCATATTGCTACTCCCTTCATCTAATTCTATGAAGTGTAGTTTAACAGGAAATGGAGATTGTGAAGTTAATTTGACTTGTATAGCATTTGGGTACAAGTAGCTCAAAATGTTAAACTTGACAAATGACCTTTGATTGCCAGAAGTACGTGCAAGTAGTATAGAATTCTTATTAGCAAGAAAAGTCATGAAAACTTAGGAACATCTCATACTAGAAAATATGGTCCCTTGAATTGGACGTAAGACAACTTGATAGGTAAATGAGCATCAAGTCTGTAACAGAACGTGGGGCTGTTCCTTAACGACAACACAGCAACAACTATGCCTCAGTCCTAAAGAAGTTGAAGTCAGCTATAAAAATCCTCATTGACCACTTTACTCCATTTAAAATCACCTCATGCCAATAGGGGCTGTTCCTTATATCCAAAAAAATAAAATAAAAGCCATGTGTTTGGGGGAGGGGNAAAGAAAATTCCTGCACAATAGATAAATGACTATTACTACTTGGGAGTCAAATAGCTTTTCCTTTTACTACTACTTTCTCCCAAGTCTTTTAAATATTTCAAATTATTAACTATGCTGACTTATAGTACTTTTCATGTACTTTTCCAAAACATATTTTATTTCAGAAAAGTTGAAGAATTTATGCCCATATGCACGCTGAATATTAGGGGTTTTGACCCTCATACTTTGAACTCTTTCGCATAAAATGGCACGGAGGGAGTATGGTTTCCAGCAAACTATTGAGGAAAACCTACTTTTACTATGGAAAGAACCTTAACATATTACTCTGAGCATAATAAGTCCTACCAAGATAGTCCAATTAGAGGCCTTCGTTGCAGTCAATAAGGAATGAAGGGAAGAGAATCATTTAACTACAAGGCTTTGTACATCTAGCACCTTACTAAAAAGACTTAGCTTAACTGAAGGGTAACCTTAATTCAAATGACAAACTAGATAAGAAAAAGAACTTGAGTAAGCTTGTAATATTCTTCTCATAACAGAAATGGGTAGTACAAAAAACATGTAATTTTAACGAATTTGCTCAAGACTATGCTTTACTTGTGGGTGCAATCTACTTATTATCAATCTAACTTCCTAATAAAACTTCTCGTGAAGGTGGAGTGCTACTCAGGGACATTAATGTGAAGAGCAAGCAAGTTCTTTTTTTTGAAGGTAAAGAGTAAGCAATATTTATTTTAAACATAAATGTACTCTTGGCAGAGGCGGAGCTAGGATTTTGAGTTTATGGGTTCTGGATTTCAGAAAAGGCTGTTTAATAGGTTCTTAATATATTATTTATACATATTAGATGAATTTTTTATCCAAAAACAGGGTCTGAGCCAAAACTACTGGGTTCTGCCGAACCCGTACACAGGTTTGTGGCTCCGCCCCTGATGTCTCTTGCATAAAGATGTCCGTAGACCGTAATAAGACTGAAACAACGAGAAGCATCAAAAATAGGCTTCCACTCATAACATTTAATCCGACCTAGTGCACAAAGAGTTCGGAGTTCTCAAAATAAGAACTCAAAGGGAGGTTTACAGCATAACAGAAACAAAGCAGGCTGGTGAAACTTGAGAGAATTATCAGCAAGCCAATACAGCAGACTGACCTACTGCTGTGATGATTCCACTAAATAAAACTTGGCGGCGATGCTTCTTCATCATATCCTTACTCCTTTCATCTCCGTCTTTCTGTTCTCAAGCAGAAAACCATTTTTATTCTAAAACTATGTTTTGCATGAACAAGACTTTCTCCTGTAGAAAACAAATCAAAATAATACCTTTTTGCCTTTGGCACTTGAAATGGGTGCAAGTGTAGGTTCTGGGATAAAATGTGAAACAAGAGCAAAGAAGATAACACCTGCAAAAAACTGACCGACCGAAAGATTTGATTAAGAGCCAAGAACTGTATGTTTCTTCTTTTGGTGGAAAGTTGATAAAGTTCAGAATAAAATCAGGAGAAAGCTCACCCAGAGGTTTCCCTTCAAAAAGCCAATGGAGTTTATAGCATTATGAGCCAAGTCAAAGAATGATATGCTGAGCATAAGACCAGCAGCAAACCCCTGCAAAATGGGAGAAAATATTCAGGCCTCTACTCTGCTATATACCTCTCGGATTTACGCCATTGAACATAACAATTTCATTAAAGCTAAGAAAGCTCAAACAATCAGTAAATTAACAATCAAATGATCCTTTTCTTATGTTCAAATTTTAACATACTCAATCCCGAAAAGGCCCGGTGCACTATGCTCCGGAGAAGGGCTGGACCACATAGGGTCTATTTGTACGCAACCTTACCTTGCATTTCTGCAAGAGGTTGTTTCCGACTTGAACCCGTGACCTCCTGGTCACACAGCGACAACTCTTAAAGTTGCACCAAGGCTCCCCTTAAAAATACTCAAACTCGAAATGAAGTATAAAATAACCAACAGTAAATATCTAGCAAGACAGCATGCCTAAATAAGGAAGTGACAACAAAACCATGAATCACTGAAATTAACCATTTCACTTCTAACATTCTTACAAATACAATTAACAATCACCTGTAAAAGTCCTAGCATCTTCAAGTTAGGAGTCTGGCTAATAACCACAAAAAGTGCACCTGCTCAATAAGATAACAAATAGTAATTAGATTCAAATCATTAAACCTTCTTATTGGAGACTTCTCATAGTTTCAAACACTCGAGAAACCTGAAAAAACACAGAAGTATATGGAAACAACAACCTTAAAGTAATAGCACCATCGGTCCTCAATGTGTATTATACAGTTTTTATGAGCTAAATTGAAAATGTGTATTAAAGGGCAGTCCGATGCACTAAACTTCCGGTATGCGCGGGGTCCGAGGAACGGCCGGACCACAAGGATTTATTGTATGCAGCCTTACCTGCATTTCTGCAAGAGGTTGTTTTCACGGCTTGAACCCGTGACCTCCTGGTCACATGGCAGCAACTTTACCAGTTACGCCAATGCTCCCCTTCAAATTGAAATTGTGTATAAAAATTGAAATTTTAGCAATATGGTTTTCACTATAAAGGATTACCAATGGATTGAGCACAAAAATTAAAAAGACCACACTTTGACTTCCATAACTCAAAACTAAACATTAATTAAAACACATATCAGGTTCTGATAATCAATGAACTTTTGCAAAGTAGAAAAATAAACTACTCCTAACCAAAAAAAAGAAACGAAGAATTTTTATTTACCTAGAGAGGTACTTAAGCCACCCAACATAGAAAGACCAAGAGCAACAAGAATTTGAGAATCCATAGAATACCCTTTGCTCTAAAACCCCTATATATTCCAAGATAGCCAATTTTTTCCCAGAAAAATCTGGGGTTTTGCTCCTATTTTTTTCTGCTATTCTATAGACGAAGCAAATGGGTGCTGGAGATTGATATCAAGAATTGAAAATTTAAGCTTTAGGAAAGAAGAGGTCTCTTAAAAATCAAATCTTGGAGACCCCCAAGATTAAAAGATTGCACAAATATATAAGTAGTAGCTCAGCTCAGCTCCCTTCAGGAGTGGGGCAAAGAAGAGAATATGTACAGTTAAAGGAAAGAGATTATGGAAATGGAGGGGTTCAAGAAATTAGAAACTTTGACTTGTTGCTTTAGCATATAGTGAGTTGTTGTTATTATTATTATTATTATTATTATTATTATTATTATTATTATTATTATTATTATTATTATTATTATTAGTTTTGTACATTGTCAGCAACCATTAGTTGGTTTCTTTAGTATAATTGTATAGTTTAGGAACCATGATTTGTTTTTCAATTGCAACTGTACCATCTCGAGTTTTTAAAATTAAGTCAATTCACATTTTATTTTGAGTAATTGGTAATTAAGAATTTAAGATTAAGTCAAACCATAGGTCATCGAAAATTTTCATATATACTTGAAAAATGCTTAATGGTTGAATATGTCACAAACTAGAATATAAAAAAAAAAAAAAAAAAAAAAAAAAAAAAAAAAAAACAAACTAGTGGCTATATTTTAAAACGTCTCAATATGTTATATTTAGGCTTAGACAATTATTCACGGAAAAGTATACAAATAATCCTCAAAGTGGATAGTCTTGAATTTTTGCCCCCGCTTAAACTTTAAGTTTAATAACTATAACCCCTCGCTTTCCCATGGGCAATACTTATAACTTTTAACCTTTTTCTGCCCCTAGACAAGCAAAGATCAAAAGTTAAAGACCACGTAAAAAAATATCAATATTTCTATAATTTTTTGGTCACGCTCACGCCAATTATCCTGTCGATCATGTTCTACTTCTAGCTTCTATTAGTACAATTTGTGAGATAATTCTGACTACCAAAGTTTAAGTCTCAATATATATGTAGGAGAGTCGTTTAATTTTTTCTTTGCAAAAACCACCAACTCTAGGTGAGATAATATATTAATAGACGTCAAAATTCTAAAAAAGATTGTAACAAATGGATATAACTAAATGGAAAAGGAAATCATTGAGATCTCTTTGGGTATGTAAGTTATGTGACAAAAGATGAAGGAAATTCATGCTTTCTTTGCTATTGTTCAAATAATCACGGAGAGAAATACAAAATTTCAAGTGTCGTAGGAATTTTTATTTGTAGAAGATAATTCAGGAAAAATTAACTGTCTTTAAAATCACAAAATTATTTTGAAACATAAAAATAAATATACCAACACATAATAATAAAGGTGTCAAGCAAGGGAAAAGAAGAATATATACACACTTTTTTCCTCGTTGAAGATAGCCAGCTGATAATTGAACAACGAAAAATTGATCTCATAAAAAGACTTTGTATTTTTTAGAGATTTTTTCCTTCCTATACCATATATGAAACTTTATTACAAAAAATGTGCACATTTTCTAATTTACCCGCCCTGTCCACATTTTTCCTACAATTATTATACCATTCATTAAATACTAATTATTAGTAGCTGAATCTTCTTAATTAGGCGTGCTAAAATTCAGGAACAGAATCTTCTAATTGATTTAGCCACAAATCAAATCTGTTCAAAAGCTCAATTCGTCGAAATCAAATCTGTTCAAAAGCTCAGATCTGTTCTTCATATTTTCGCTTATGACACAAGTCAAAAGCTCAGTTCGTCGAAATCAGAAGCTCAATTTCAAATTGTAGAAATCGGTCCTGCAAAAGCTCTATTCGTCGACATTCTCTCTACATCTCTCTATTTCTCAATCGCAAATTTCAGTAATACAAAGCAAATGAAAAGAGAGCAGCAATTCCACCATTGACAGTCATTGAAAAGCTTGAAAGCTTTGAGTTCAAATTTGGGTTTTCAAAAATCATTATTTGTTTGGATTGGGTGTTAGTGAAAATAATCAGGAATATGGTTTGGAGTTTATATCTCAATTTTGAGGAGTTTTGGTGAAGATTAGACTTGGTTTTGACCGAATTTCAGATTGAAACTCGAAGAAGAAGAAGAAGAAGAAGAAGAAGAAGAAGAAGAAGAAGAAGAAGAAGAAGACATATTGCAGAAATTGTAGATAAATTGTAGATTATTTGTATTCTGATTGTAGATGCTTTATTTTCTGTTTTCACAAATAAAAAACGGCTAAAACTTCTACAAATCTTCTGGAAAAACGCAATTATGTCAAAAATCCCAATTATGCTACAATTGAATAGGAATTGGGATATAAAAATTCAATGTACCCAGTTTTGTAGATATTTTGTAGATAAATTATAGATTATTTGTATTCTAATTGTAGATGCTTTGTTTTCTGTTTTCACAAATCAAAAACGACTTAAACTTCTACAAATCTTCTGCCAAAAACGCAATTATGTCGAAAATCCCAATTAAACTACAATTGAATGGAGATTGGGATATTAAAATTCAATGTACCCAGTTTGTAGATATTTTGTAGATAAATTGTAGATTATTTGTATTCTGATTGTAGATACTTTGTTTTCTATTTTCACAAATCAAAAACAACTAAAACTTCTACAAATCTTCTGCTTTTGCTTCCATTATTACTCTCTTTTCAATGAAATATTGTCACAATTCCTCTGCTTTTCCCCATATAAACGACTCAATTTCCTCGTATTTTTTTTAGTTAAGATATCAAATAAGTAGGAATTGAACAAGATGGGGAAGATGAACCAGAAATGGGGAAAAATTTTATTTTGTGTCTCACGCGACTGACACTAGTTGTGTGAGGCCTCTTTTTTGTCTCACAACTGTGTGGGTCCCAGAATTTTGTGGACCCAGATGTGTAAGATATGGGTCCACAAATATGTGAGATAAAAAGAGGCCTCACACAACTAGTGTAAGTTGTGTGAGACACAAAATAAAATCACTCAGAAATGGGACATCTGCAATGGAAAAGAAACTGAAAGACACGTTTTCTGATGGGGGTGGTTGTAAGGGGTGGGGGTGGGGTCTGTGTATGTGTGTGTGTGTGTCTGGGATCGCACTGGGAAAATCTGCATTTTGGGGAATATAGTAATATGAAGTTGACATGGGGTCATTAAGAAGAGTTTATTATCGGTTGGAAGATTTGAATATTAAAAAGGAGAGGTACAATAGTCAGCTGCTAATGTACTAAATTCAATGCCAATGTTTAAAATAATGCTAGTATACTTCTGCGCACGCAAATAATGTGCTAAATACACTATGGTATAGAATTGATAATTTGGTATACTAAGTGTAATTAAACCAAACCTTAAACATTGAGGGTAATAAGGTTTCCTATGTGGCATAGGAATGTAAAAATTCCTATTTTTTAATGACATTATCGGTCAACTTAAGCATTGTTATAGTGATCAGCAGCCGGCTGAAAAACATCCCAGAATTAGAAAGAAATTTCCTTTTTAAGCAAGTCCAAAATCTCAAAACTTTCAGACTGTGTTGCTCGGACTCTCCGAAAATGTGGCAGGATAAGTGTCGGATCCTCCAAAAGTAGTGCATTTTTGAAGGATCCGACACGGACGCAGCTATATTTTGGAGAGTCCGCGCAACATAGCTTTCAGATACTATCAGTGAAGTTCAAATTCCAGACGCCACAAAAACGAGGTACGAATTATCTTCTTCTCCCTTTTTCTGATAAAAGTTGTCTCCAAGCTCTCTTGTGCGCACCTTAACTATTGCATCAAGTACTTACTACCTCCAATCTAACACAATAAAATATCTTTATGATAATAAGAGCTCTCAAATCGCGAAAACCTCGGTGTTCAAGAGCATAGCTTTAGAGAGGAAAGGACGGGAACCCAAGTTAAGGCTGGTGGGGAAGCACAAATCTCGACTTCAAAGACTATGATTCAGTTCCTAACTGATCAAACCTGCAGTTGCTTCAGAAACTAGCTCATACTATTTACACGCTAAGAAGATAACGCAATAGAACAATAATAATCTCTTTCAAATTCCAGAACCATAGAGCTCCATGGCATTTTCAGCTCAAAATTAACAGCTGCATAGACTGAAAAATTAGGAAACTTAATTTGGTATACAAGCATAGAATAAGACCACCAAGAACTGGCACAATGGATAGAATTCCATCACCCCTTAGGCAGGTTGGAGCACTGAGAATAGAGAAATTACTACGAAGCGCCTAATGAAGGTTAACGAAAAAGAAGTATAGAATAAGGGCTTTACATGTGCACAAAGTGCATCTCAAGTAGTGCGAGGAAGGGAGGAAGAGTGGGAATATTCCTTTCTCTTTATATTATCACAAAGAGCTGTTTCCACGCCTTAAGCCACAATTAGGCTCCCACAGTTCAAAACAATACAATACATAAAAACATTTGGGTCTTCGAAACTAGTAACAATAATAAGATCCATCGGAAAGGGGCATGTGGAAAAAATTATAGCCTATAGAAGATAAAGCATAAAGCACTTCATTATAATTTCAGCTTAAAAAAAAGTCAATAAAGAACAACGCAAACGAAGTCAAGAAGCACAAACCGAAGACCTCCCAGGAGCACGTTCTTTCAAGAAGAATATGCATTTGGTCCAGAACATCTCATGATATCAAAACTACAATCCTTTAGATAGCAATCACTAGGAGTTCATATTAAGATATAATCCGTCAATAAATTCATTAGCAACTCTTTCGGACATCTAAGTCATATACTTTACAAATCCAGAGTTAAATAACAAATGAAAACTGATATTAATAGAGAAATAAAATAATTTCTATAACAGTAGATGGCTAAAATGATTCTTCTAATTCCTTCTTCTCTTCAATACCTACTGCAAGTGCAGCTATATTTTCATGGTCAAAATTAAAAAAGTTTCCCCTTTTCTATTTACCCATAGTGCTAGTGACAACTAGCCAACGGCCTGTACTACTGTGGCCTACAAAAGCATAGAAGCTTTGCTTCCAGATTTTTTTCTTGCATCTCTAAACCACCAGTCAATCATTTCCTATTTTTCTGATGACGAACAACTGATGACTGGCCTATTAAAATGTAATAGCTGTTTCCTGCAACAATTCACCATTGCATAACAAGTTACTAATTAGCCAGTGACCAGCATAACTAAACCCCCATTAAAGACTCAAAACACATCAAGAATTCTATCCGTGATGGCGTCCAAAACTTACAGGCCTTGGGGTTCCAGATTTTCTTTTTCACCTTTGAATCACCATCAGACCATAGCCTATCCAAAGTGAATACGGCTTTTTTCCTTATTCAGTTTACAGTAGTTCACTAGTTTCTGATTAGCCATCGGCCAGAGTGACTAGAGCCCCAGATTCTACCCATAATGGCTTCCAGAACTTACAAATTTTGGTTCCAGATATTTTTTTCATTGATGACCATTAAACCATTCACCGATCAAAATAAGTATAATGTTTTCCTCTTTAGTTTACAAATTGGGTAACTTGTTCCTAATTAGCCAGAGGCCAGCATGACTAGAGCCCAATCAAAGATAAAAATATGTCAACATTTCCACCCACACTGGACCCCAAGATTTAGAAGCTCTGTCCTATCAAAATCAACCTGTTCCCTTCTTTGGTATAAACATAGGTAAGTAGCTTCTAATTAACCAGCGGCCAGCATGATTAGAGCTCCATCATAGAACCAAAACACGTCTAGAATTTTACCCATAATGCCTCCAAAACTAAGAAGCTTCTGTCGTTACAACTTGAATATCTTGTTTTGGTTGGTCACACTTTTTGAATAACTAGTTTCTAGTTAGCCAGCAGTAAGCATGTCTAGAACCCCATCAAATACCAAAACATGTCTAATTCTACCCCATAATTGTCTCCCAAACTTAGACCATTTGCCTATTCCAGGACCTTCAACTTTACCTATCCTATTCTTTTCCGCCCCGAAAATTCGACAAAAACAAAGGGTAGAAATTTTTGCACACTCATTGTTGTTCCTTGTAACATGATCATATAAAAACATGAATCACCACAATGCTTCTAGTGCTCCATTTGTGAAAGAGAGATTCCTGGCATGGTTGTTGTCATCAAAAGCACTACACTATGTGCAGAGTCATGTAGGAAAATAACCAAAAACTTAACACATTGGCTATCAACATACATAACAAAATGACATCTGGAGGCACCAATAATGCTGTTCGAGTAAAATAAAGTTGCGCTATATTAAAAGAAACATGGACAAGAAACTCAGAAGTGATTTATTCCCTAATTCTTTCATTGATGTCCTCTACACTGAGTTTAAACAAAAGAATTACAAATATCCAATGTCATGAAAAATAATTCCTGTCACTTGTTCACTAATATTCCAAAAATACTAAACTGGAACCACATATTAAAAGAAACATGGACAAGAAACTCAGAAGTGATATATTCCCTAATTCTTTCATTGATGTCCTCTACACTGAGTTTAAACAAAAGAATTACAAATATCCAATGTCATGAAAAATAATTCCTGTCACTTGTTCACTAATATTCCAAAAATTCTAAACTGAAACCACATTTCTCAGGGATAGTAGAAGACATGAAATCAAACAGCCCCATTCACTACAACAATGAAATTCATCATATAACCTCAATAAACCACCTATCTATCCCTTAATTTTCCTGTTTTCCTTCAATTTAACCTAAAACAGTAAGTAGCATAATGGAGATTGAAACTTTAACAGAACTCCATCATATCCAAAAAAATAAAACAATTACAAGCTTTACCATAATTCATAATCAGCCGACCTCTCTATTTCTTTCATCCATGTCCTCTACATTGAGTGTAAAGAATTACAAACATCAAATGTCATAAAAAATAATTTCTTTCATTTATTCACTATCCCAAAAAATCTAAACTCAAACCCCATTTCACAGGGTTAGTACAATATGAAATCATATACTATGACAACAAAATTCATCATATAACCTCAATAAACCACCTATATATCCCTTAACTTTCCTGTCTTCCTTCAATTTAATCTAAAACAAAAGTATAGTCAAAATTTTAACTTTAAGAAAACTCCATCATTTCCAAAAAAATCAATTAGAATTTTTACCCTTACGCCCTCGCTGTAGCTGGAGGTGTTGCACCATCAGCATCACCATCACCCTGTTCCTCATTTCCTTCCATCTGCTGACTAAGCAGCAACTGCTTATTCTTCTCAAGTGCATTTGCAACTTCAGGTGGCATATACTTCTCATCGTGTTTCGCCAACACTTCCGTAGCTGCAAAATAACAATCCCCGCCCCTCGCCTTTTTCGTCACCTCTAACTTCTTCTCGCTCAAAATCCCACTCTCTTTCTTCTTCATCTCCTCCGTAAACGGCTTTACAAACCCTTCAACTACAACAGAATGCCCTTCCCTAAATAAATCCGGCAACGACCCGTCATACTTAACCAATATATCAGTAATCAAATCAGTAATCACAAACTCCATTTCAGGGGAATTAGGTATTGGTGTTACACTGTTTTCTAACACTAATCCACCGAGCCGGAATTTTGATTTTGTAGGGTTTTGTGAGTGTTGTGATAGTGCGTCTGTAGGTGTAACGTAAAATACAAGCTGGTCTTGGAACTGGTTAAGGACTATTACTATGAAACCAGCTATGCAGCTAAATGTAATAGCGTAAGTCCAGAGACGCCGGGTTTGGAGTTGTCGTGCTCGAGCTCCGATATCGGGCCGGGCTGATATGTGGGATTTAGCGGGCCGGGAGAGTGTGGAGAAGGATCGGAGGGTGAAAATCGATTGGTTAGGGTTTAAACGGGAAATATTTAAGGGCTGTGATTGGCGGTGGAGGAGTGAAATTAAAGGGTGAGATTTGGGGAGAGTGGTGGTGGTGGTGGCGGCGCCGGCGCCGGCGGAACGGAGGAGACGGGAAGCTAGACGAGAAGTGAGATTTGAAGCCATTGAAATTTATTTATTTATTGTGGAATTTCTCAAAAGGAAAGGAAATTGGGGTTATTATAGGGTTTAAGGAATTTGTAAAGTTAGCTTTAGAAGAATGTAGAGGGTGCGGTCAAAGACGTTGCAATTCACGCCGCCGGCGATTTTTCTTTGCAAATTTTTTTTTCCCTCTCTCTCTCTTCCAAAATGTGGATAGTATATACCCAAAGTGGTTATAACCTAAAATTCATAAATGATAAGTTGGTCACCCCAGTTTATAAGCACTTTTAGCTTGACCAAAGATTATCCTAATAGTATTTTTTAATTCACAACATATTTTTTCCAAAATAAATTTTCTGACTTTTTTTTCATTCAATATTCGTTGTTCAATCTTTTCCTTTACCAAAAAAAAAAGTTTTAATTTATAATCTTTTATAAAGTTTTTAAGGATATTTTAGTCATTTTAATAAAAGAATTACGTATCAGTTTTTTTTACCAAACACATCAACTACTTATTATTAGTTTCAGCACGGCTATCCAAACACGTAAATACTTATTTAAAAAATCAATTGCATCACTTAAAAATACTTTTTAGTACGTCAAGCTTATCGGCTATTTACAAGCAGCTAATCCAAACGAGCTCTACTTCTTTTGCTTCGATTATCTTATTATCTTGTTATTTTGCTTCGATTATCTTATTATCATGTTGTTGTTCCTGTTTCTTTTCTGTGACTTCCACAATATCGTATTTCTTTACAATACAATACTCTTGTGACGATGCTTTTTTTGAACCTTTTTCTTTACAATATAATACTCTTGTGACGATGCTTTTTTTGAACCAAAATAAAGGTTCTCTATCTTCACAAAATAAAGATAAGGTATTATATACACTACCCTTCATAGATCACATTTATGAGATTATATCGGGGAGATTTGTTGTTATTGTCGTTGCATAACAATTTTTTCAATATTTATCTACCGTGTAACAATTCATTTATTACTCATTATCACATAAACAAGTAAATTTTCCGTATCTTGTCTCCAAACGAACATCTCGGAATGGGTATCTTAAATGGCTGAAATTATGTCCTTTAGTTATGCCAAAATAATGATGAGGAATTTTAGAATTTAAAGAATTGACGAGTTTTTGTTCTAGCATTCTTTCTTTTAAAATGCTTTTATTGGTGCCATGTGTCAATTGTATAACTTCAATAACTGAATGTGTCCTCTAATTGTTCCAAATAATAATAAAGAAATTTTTGAAATGGCAAGTTTTTGCTTGTCTTTTTCTTTTCATGTCTTCATTAATGCCATGAGTCAAATGTGTATCATCAATGACTGAAATTTGTTCTTTAATTTTGTCCCAAAATAATGATAAGGAACTTTTAAAAATAGAATAAAATCTGGCGGATCTTTGTTACTACCTAAAACGGGGCAAGTGCACCGATAGTCATTCTCAGGGATGCTATTTAAAGACTAGTCAGTAAAAATTGAATTCAGGACGACTGTCTAATTCCCATATAGGAGCCCTTTAGAATGGCCACCGTGTCATTTCTACACCTAAAACACGCCTAGAAATCTATCCCTACAATCACATGCATTATAGATTTAGAAGATGCAGGTTGCAAAAGAGAAGTAAATGAATTATAACCTAATAAGCAAACCAAAAAATAAGATGATATAATAAATGTCAATAAACAAGAGGTAAGGACTAGCAAGTATCAGTTCCTAAGGCCAACACCAAAGTGAAACCTCCCAGTCCTCTGGTCATTGAAGGCATACTCCAGTCTTAAAGGTCCTAATGGCGAGTCTACGCGGATACCAACTCCACATCCATATCCACTTCCAGGTTTTCGCCTTGGTCCAGCAGGATCACCTGATAAGAAAAAACAGCATTCAGTTAAAAGCCGTGGAAACAACCTCCTGCAGAAAATAGACCCTTGTGGTCCGGCCCTTCCCGGACCCCGCGCATAACGAGAGCTTAGTGCACCGGGATGCCCTTTTAGTTAAAAGCATGCCAAAGTACAATACATGTCAAATCTCCCTAAAAGCAAAATATAAACTAACTTGAGTAGAGTGCTTGTCAATGAAGCCTTTAGTCTAGCAAATAAATTTTGACACATAATATAGACAATTTAGTTTATAGTTTCCTTCATGTTTGTGAATTTACTGGATGTTGCCTACAAGCGTATCAAATGGGCTGAAAGTACTGGATTTGGGCGGGTGAAAATAGGCCGAGTCAATAAATGGGAAGGTCATGAAGCTCCCCAACTTGGATAGGTCAAATTTTAATGCACTAATTTTGCCGCTCCTAAGTTGCCTATTATCCCACAAGTGCGGATACATATTCTACCAATCTGGTCACAGTTAGACTACTCCTGCCTACAGAAAAGATTAAACATTGTCGTATACTCCTTTTTTTTGTTTTTTTTTTTTTTTTTGGGGGGGGGGGGGGGGGGGGGGTCGTAGCCAAAAGCAAACATCAGATAGAGATACATACCAGGAACACTTGGAGCAGAACCAAGATCTGTGCCATAATCAGCAAATACAGCCCCTTCTAATGGCCCCATCTGCAGAACAAGGGGGAATATGATAAGAAAGATAATAGCATACAGTATTCAAGTCAAAGACGTTTAGCAGAGAACTAATATTGTAAGGCATGTGTAGCTTAACAGAGGATGAAGCTGGAATGAAGACCATGGGAGACTAGGGGTAACAGCAGAGGCAAAAACCGTTTGGAAATTTCTTCCATCTACCTAACTACTGATGGATAAAGTTGTCTTATATTTGTGCCGTTGGTAGGATGCAGCAATCGGGTGGCATAATCGAGGTGCGTATAAGTTGGCGCGAACCCTATCGTTAACAAATACCAAAGTAGAGGGAGAAGGAGACAGAGAAAGAGAGATCTAATAAATTGTAGGGAAAGACGCCCATATAGAGAGGTGCCTAAAAATCAATGGACATTAGCAACAGTCATCTTGGTAGAGATGGGATAGCACCAGTATCATCGGGATAGATTAGAGAGATAGTGAAAACCCCAATAATCTAGAGAAGTGTGTAGAACTATCAGATGATAATTTCCAACTGCCTCCACTTACCAGAGGGAACGAAATTTCTCCACAGCCAACCACATAAGACCGGCCTGAGCCAACTGCGCCTTCTTCATATCCTCTCACACTATTGGTTCCACCAATAGCAAATGCTTCATGAGGTGGAAAATTACCAACCACATGACCACCAGAGAAGCTGCAAAAGGAAACTCGCAATAGCCAGCAACTTAATTTAGAGGAATTTTTAAAGGATACAGTTGAAGGAAGAACAGCCAAATTTAGCATCTTTCTAGCTAATCCCACAAAAAAATGGAGAATGTACCTTCCAAGAAGACGAATAGGACCAAATACAACTCCTTTTCTAGCACGAGCATTGACTCTGTTGAAACCTAGCCACTCTGACCACACAGGAAGTCCTTGCTCCATGTTGAAAACGAACTGCAAAACAGCAGGGTAACCAAGTTTGGAGTACATCAATAATTCTTTCTATCTGTTTATTCACTAGATAAAGAGTCTGGCAGAGTTTTACAAAACTCACCACCGACGAACCAGGGTCACCAGAACCAGTATAGACAGTCTCAAGTTTGGCAAGCAACATATCATCGTGAGTGTTGCCACTGCAGCAGTTCAGAAAGGAACACATTGGACAATTTCTTATGGCCAGATATAACAATACTTTAGGCAGCATAAACCATCAACAACATATACCTTGCAGTAAGTGGACTACTGTAGTAGTCCCTTATAATAGGATTCCCTTTGTCATCCCGAGCACCAGCACGCTGAGAAATTCAAATAGGAAGGACAAGTAGCAAAGGCATTAACAGATATGGGAAATAAAAGATATGTCAGACACTGGAAATGATTAAATAACTCCACTGATGTCCCAAGACTAGAAATGAGTAAAGAGTTTTCATCCTCCTTGGCAGCGCATGATCAACCCTAATAGTAAATAAAAAGATAACACATGACATCTCTTTTTCATTTTCACAAGTTTCAAAATGAATTAGAAACTTTACTAGCAGCCTGACGTACCAATATTTAGACAAATGTTTAAACAATTCATAAGGCTTTTATAAGAAAGGGGGCTTATTCATGCCCAAAAATCTATTTGTTTTCGCCTTGCAAAAGAATTAGTCTATGTGGAGAATTGAAAAGGTTTTGGATAATTATAATTGGTGACAGCATTGTACTAGGACCGCAATACACTTAAATCGCCAAAAATACTTGGTAACAATGTAAATATAATGCACAATCACATTTAACATCCATCTTTTTATTAAATGTGTTATTCTTTTTTTTATTGGATTAAGCACATGCAATGTTTCTCTTTTAAAATGAATACTCCAAAGTTTAGGTAATAGAGATAATAGTTGGTCCCTGAAACAATACCAGTTCAATGAAATTTTACGAATAACTAGAGATGTAAGTTCAAAACTTTAAATTACTAAATAACCCCATCCTAAAAATTCCCAAATCGACAAGAATTAGAGTTTACTCCCAGAGGCAGTAAATTTCACGCTACGACATCCTGTTCAGGCTACATGGATGAGATGGTCTCTACACATTTGACTCTTGACTCTAAATACAGATCTCTTCGAGCCTTTTGGAAACAAGAGTTAAGTTTCTCACAGGCAGAAATTCTCATTCTCTTGGAGTCACCATTTAAACTCAATGTCAATTGCAGACTACAAAACCAACTTTCACACTCTTCAAAAATCAATAAAGATCTCTATCACCATATTCCCCTCTATAACCATGCAAACCACCCAATAGCAGAAAGTAAGATAATCATTCTGCGGAGGGTGAATTAAATTATCAGACATTAATATAAAAGCTACCTGAAATATGATTCCAGCTGTTCCATTCCACTTTGGTTTGAACGGCCGGCTGTACTCAATCCCAGCTGTGACACGTCCTATCGTCAGGCTACCATCAGGTTGGTTATGAACAAGCGTGCCAGGTGTCCTGGAATTCTAGTTAAAATAGGAAGTCAGACAGAAATGAGCTCTGACTAACTGCCACGATATATGCTTTAGTGGATCTTAAATTACCTGTATCATAATTGATCTTGAAGTCCTCTTATCATCTCCTTCAATCCATGGGTCTGTATAGTTTATCCGAAAAAGTGAGTCAATTTGCCCTCGCTCCAGTGACAAATTCAGCTTTTGATTTCTTCCGAAAAG